GGTGGGAATGTAAATTAGTACAATCACTATGGAGAACAGTATGGAGGTTCCTCATACAACTAAAAATGGGACTACCATATGATTCAGCAATCCCACTCCTGGGCATGTATCCAGAGAAAACCATGATTCGAAAGGATACATGCACCCCAATGTTCATTGCGGTGCTATTTACAATAGCCAGAATATGGAAGCAACCTAGCTGAATTTAACTGAATCACTTTGCTGTACACCTGAAACTAACACAACATTGTAAACCAACTATCGTCCAATACAAAATAAAACTTAAAGAAAAAAAAGAAAAAGAGGGAATTCCCTGGTGGTCCAGTGGTTAGGACTCCACACTTCCACTGCAGGGGGCACAGGATTGATCCCTGTTTGGGGAACTAAGATCCTGAATGTCGCCTGGCGAAGCCAAAAAACAACGAAAAAAAGAAAAAGACACATGCACCCCAGTGTTCATAGCAGTACTATTTACAATAGCCAAGACATGGAAGCAACATAAATGTTCATTGACGAGAAATGGATAAAGAAGATGTGGTACATATATACAATGGAATATTATTCAGCCATTAAAAAGAATGAAATAATACCATTTGCAGCAACATGGATGGACCTAGAAATTATCATACTAAGTGAAGTAAGCCAGAGAAAGACAAATATCATATGATATCACTTATATGTGGAATCTAAAAAAATGATACAAATGAACTTATTTATAAAACAGAAACAGACTCACAGACTTAGGAAATGAACTTATGGTTACCAAAGGGGAAGAGGGGGAGAGGGATAAATTAGGAGTTTGGGATTAACATATACACACTACTATATATAAAATAGATGATCAACAAGGACCTACTGTATAGCACAGGGTACTCTACTCAATATTCTGTAATAACCTATATTAGAAAAGAATTTGAAAAAGAATAGATACATGTAGATGTATAACTGAATCACTTTGCCGTACACCTGAAACTAACACAACATTGTAAATCAACTATACTTCAATATAAAATAAAAGTTAAATAAAAAAACACAGAAACCTAAACCAAACCAAACCAAGAGTGGTTCTTCTGGGAGTGACAGAGTTGAAATGTGGGGTTCTATTTTTTTTTTATAAATTTATTTATTTGTATTTATTTTATTTTTGGCTGCATTGGGTCTTTATTGCTGCGTGCAGGTTTTTTCTAGCTGTGGCAAGCGGGGGCTACTCTTCATTGTGGTGTGCAGGCTTCTCATTGCAGTGGCTTCTCTTGTTGCAGAGCACGAGCTCTAGGCACAGGGGCTTCAGTAGTTGCAGCATGCGGGCTCAGTAGTTGTGGCTTTCAGGCCCAGTAGTTGTGGCGCACGGGCTTAGTTGCTCCGTGGCATGCGGGATCTTCCTGGACCAGGGCTCAAACGCACGTCCCCTGCACTGGCAGGTGGATTCTTAACCACTGCACCACCAGGGAAGCCCGAAATGTGGGGTTCTTGAGCCATGTTTCTCTGAGGTCTCCTACCTACATGATGACAGGATGGCTCATGGTGAAACTTCCATGGGTGTGGGTGGTAGGAGTTTTAACTAGGATAATTAGTCTATGTGTGGCCATAAGTCTCCAGCCATGCCATTGACACAGTGGCTGACCTTCTGCCTCTCATTCTGTGCTGAAAAAAATAAAATCTTAGCTAAAGACCTGGAGTTTGTGGGATTTAAATAGTAGGCAACCAGCAAGTTGCATCAGAGCAGCCACCTAATGATTATTAATTTCCGTTAAATTGTTTCGAAGGGCTTTCTGTGTCAGGAAGGGATTGATGAAGCACTCCAGGAACGGTTCAGAGTCTAAGACCCAGTTTTGGGGACTTATCATGTAGTGGAAGAAAAAGATACAAATGTGTGAGATAGGCAAATAACAAGAAAGGATTTAACTAATAGTATATACTACAACAGCATGATGCCTTGTAGCTGTTTTAAGATATGACTCCAAATTCTTTGAAACTTTTCCCATTGAGAGGTTGGGTTTATGTCCCCTCCTCTTAAGTCTGGATGGGCTTGTGAGTGTTCCAACCAATAAAACACGGCTGAAGCGACACTATGTGACACATGAAGCTAGGTTAGAAAAGGCTATGCCGCTTCTGCCTGGCTCTCTTGAATGAACCCTCTTGGGACATTCCCTCACAGAATGCAAATGCCACAACATGAGAAGTCCAGGATACATGGAGAGGCCACCATGTATGTGCTCCTGTCCATAGCTCCAGCTGAACTCAGCCTTCCAGTCATCCCAGTTGGGGTCCCAGACCTGTGAGTGGGGAAGCCTCCGGATGACCCCAGCCCCTAGTCCTCGAGTCTTCCCACCAAGGCTCCAGACATATCATGGAGGAGAAAAAGGCCAACCTTGTAGTGCTCTGTCCAAATCCCTACGCTACAGGATCTATCAACACAATAAAGCAGTTATTTGACACCACTAAGATGGGGCTGTTATTCAGCCACAGTAACTGCCCACCGCCCCCACCCCCACGCCCGGCCTCAACTCCACACAAACCATTCCAATTGTGTTAAAGAAGTTCAGCAGAGAGCCCAGCATAAACAGTGTACTCAAGGGACATTTTGTTGAGAACATGTTGAAAACAGAGGAGAAAGCGCTTTATGCTGGGTGGGAGAGGAGAAGGGTGGAGAGGACAGTGGGAGCCCAGGGCTGGCTGGTTTGATTCTAGGTGGAGTGAATAAACCAAATGGGCAGCAGGGAGGATTCTGGCAGGAAGTAATAGAACGTCAGGGTGGAAAGGAAGGCTGGGGCCAGACTGCAGCATACCTGTACCCCTTTTTCAATCTGGACAAACACAGTGAGGGACCATCATATGGGGGTCACCATCCCAAACACAGGCCCCAAGCATGAGTTGTAACACCACCTACCACTCTGCTCTGTGCATATCTCAGTGCAAGTCAGTGATTTTAGGGTTAAACTTGAATCCTCATCTGAACAAAGGCACTTTATCATTTACAGATGACAGGCCTCCCAACTTGCCACCATAGACAATCTTGGAAGCCACATCAGAGTTTGGTTTTCCCTGTAGGTGATGGGGTGGTCACTGAAGACTCCTTAATACCAGCTTGAGAATTCCAAGCTTATCTTTTAAAAGATGGCTTTGGAAGCAAAGGGCAGTACAAATATGGAGAGAGAGAGAGAGAGAGTTGAGAAAATTTGGAGGCCATTAATAGTAATCCAGGTCTGAAGTGACAATAGCCTGATGGAAGTATGATGGAGAGAAAAAGAGTGAGATTTTGTTTTTAAAAAAGTCTCAAAAGTGCTTTTTTTTTTGCGGTATGCGGGCCTCTCACTGTTGTGACCTCTCCTGTTCCGGAGCACAGGCTCCGGATGCGCAGGCTCAGTGGCCATGGCTCACGGGCCTAGCCGCTCCGCGGCATGTGGGATCTTCCCGGACCGGGGCACGAACCCTTGCCCGCTGCATCGGCAGGCGGACCCCCAACCACTGCGCCACCAGGAAAGCCCAAAAGTGCTTATTTTTTAAAGGGCCTCATAAGAGGGTTCATCATTTAAGGACATTTTTAAGGGCATCCTCAGGGGATAAATTGTTTGGCCGAGCCCATTTCCATTGCTCTCTTCCATAACCTCATGGGGTTGCTTAGGGGAGAGTCAGGCTAGGACTGGAATCAAAACGTCACTGGCTGTAGGCTAGCCAGTGGTATTCCTGGGGCTCAGGCCCAATTTGTGAGTAGCTAAAATAGCGGTAGAGTATAAAATGAGGGAAGGCAGCAGTGGGAAGCTTGGAAACCCACCTCCTGTACTGAAGCAGCCTTCTGTTCTCCAAGCAAAGCTTTCTGCCATGGCCTTGTGAGGAGTCAGTGTCTGTGGAGCTTCTATGGCCACCTCTTGTCAGGGGCTTCTGAGGTGACAGAGGTCAAGTCCCCTCATTTTATAGGTGAGTGGAAGTAAATTTGCGGGGGGGCGGTTAGCTGCCAACAGTCACTATGAATCTAATCAGAAACAACATCTTTAAACTGGAAGGTGCTCCAAAATATACAAACAGCTCATACAGCTCAATATCAAAAAAACAAACAACCCAATCAAAAAATGGGTGGAAGATCTAGACATTTCTCCAAAGAAGACATACAGATGGCCAAAAGCACATGAAAAGATGCTCAACATCACTAATTATTAGAGGAATGAAGATCAAAAGTACAGCGAGGTACCACTTCACACTTGTCAGAATGGCCAACATCAAAAACTCTACAAACAGGGCTTCCCTGCTGGCACAGTGGTTAAGAATCCGCCTGCCAATGTAGGGTACATGGGTTCAGTCCCTGGTCTGGGAAGATCCTACATGCCTCGGAGCAACTAAGCCCGTGCGCCACAACTACTGAGCCTGCACTGTAGAGCCGGCAAGCCACAACTACTGAAGCCCGCGTGCCTAGAGCCCGTGCTCCGCAACAAGAGACACCACCGCAATGAGAAACCCACACACCTCAATGAAGAGTAGCTCCCACTCACTGCAACTAGAGAAAGCCCGCGTGCAGCAGCGAAGACCCAATACAGCCAAAAATAAATAAATAAATTTATTTAAAAAACCTCTACAAACAATAAATGCTGAAGAGGGTGTGAAGAAAAGGGAACCCTCCTACACTGTTGGTGGGAATGTAAACTGGTACAGCCACTGTGGAGAACAGTATGGAGTTTCCTTAAAAAACGAAGTATAGAACTACCATGTGATCCAGCAATCCCATTCCTAAGCATATATCTGGAGAAAACCATAATTTGAAAAGATACCTGCACCCAATGTTCACTGCAGCCCCATTTACAATAGCCAAGACATGGAAGCAACCTAAATGTTCATTGACAGAGGAGTGGATAAAGAAGATGTGGCACAGGAGCTCCTGGTGGTTCAGTGGTTAGGGCTCGGCACTTTCACTGCCATGGCCCAGGTTCGATCCCTGGTTGGGGAACTCTCACAGTCCAAGCCACATGGGCAAAAAAACCCAAAACCCAAAAAAACAATGATTTGGGAATTCCCTGGTGGTCCAGTGGTTAAGACTCTGTGTTCTCACTGCAGAGGGCCCAGGTTCAATCCCTGGTTGGGGAACTAAGATCCTACCAGCTGCAAGGTGCAAATAAATTAAAGAAAGAAAGAAAATGTGGTACATATATACAATGGAATATTACTCAACCATAAAAAAGAACGGAATAATGTCATTTGCAGCAACATGGATGGACCTAGAGATTATCATACTAAGTGAAGTAAGTCAGACAGAGAAAGACAAATATTATATGATATCACTTATATGTGGAATCTAAAAAAATGATACAAATGAACTTATCTGCAAAACAGAGAGTCACAAACGTAGAAAACAAACTCATGGTTACTGGGGGGAAGGGGAGGGAGGGATAAACTGGGAGATGGGGATTAACATATACACTCTACTATACATAAAATAGATAAAAACAAGGGCCTACTGTATAGCACAGGGAACTCTATTCAATATTCTCTAATGGCCTATATGGGAAAAGAATCTAAAAAACAATGGACTTATGTATAACTGATTCACTTTGCTGTATACCTGAAACTAACACAACATTGTAAATCAAATATATCCAATAAAAAATTCTTTGAAAAATTTGGAGGGTGGGCTTTGCAGGAAAAGGCAAAGAGGTCAGGGCTTTGGGTTTCAAAGCTCTAGACAGTTTTGAATGAAAGCGCTTAGGGCATCCCTGGTGGCGCAGTGGTTGAGAGTCTGCCTGCCGATACAGGGGACACGGGTTCGTACCCCGGTCTGGGAAGATCCCACATGCCGCGGAGTGGCTGGGCCCGTGAGCCATGGCCACTGAGCAACAGTGAGAGGCCCGCGTACTGCAAAAAAAAAAAAAGAAAAAGAAAGAGCTTACATTTCATTTCTATTGTTGTTCAGACCACACATGAGGAATGAAAAGATTATTAAGAACTCGTTCTTTTATTTTTGGCCGTGCTGCGCAGCTTGTAGAATCTTAGTTTCCCGCCAGGGATTGAACCAGAGCCCTTGGAAGTGAAGGTTCAGAGTCTTAACCACTGGACCGCCAGGGAATTCCCAAGAACTTGTTCTTTTGAAAAGTTATAAAATTTTTCAAACACATAGTATAGTGGAGAGAAAAACAAATGAACTACCAGATTGAGCAAATCTTCATTTTGCTCTATTTATTTCAGCTTTTTTTTCCCTTTAGAAATAAAATGTTACAGATTCAGCTAAAGCCCCTTCACAATTCTCACTAATGCCATGCTTTTCCATCCATCGTTAGAGATAAACCACTACCCTGAATTTGATGTGTACTATTCCCATGCATGTTTCTATAAGTTCATATGTAAGCGTAAACAATTTACAGTATTGTTTTAAATGTTTTACAATTTTACCTAAATATTATCATACTGTACCAATGGCTTATGTTTCACATATCTTTGTTCTCTTCTTTTGCACTTCCCCAGTCACTAGTGTGGTTGAACATCTTTTCATCTGTGTATTGGCATTTGGATTTCTGGTAGATTGTCCGTTCACAAGCCTTTGTCAATTTTTTCTACTGAGTTGTCTTTATTTTAAAATTCTTTTTAGAAGTTATTTTACTCCACTTAAAAAATAAGTAATATTTCATAGAAAAGAATGAAATAATGCCATTTGTGCCAACATGGATGGACCTAGGGATTATCACACTAAGTAAGTCAGACAGAGAAAGACATATCACATGATATCATTTATATGTGGAACCAAAATAATGATACAAATGAACTTATTTACAAAACAGAAACACACTCACAGACCTAGAAAGCAAACTTATGGTTGCCAAAGGGTAAAGCTGGGGGGAGAGATAAATTAGGAATTTGGAATTAAATTATACACACTACTATATACGAAATAGATAATCAACAAGGACCTACTGTATAGCACAGGGTACTCTACTCAATATTCTCTAAGAACTTATACGGGAAAATAATCTGAAAAAGAATAGATACATGTATGTGTATAACTGAGTCACTTTGCTGTACACCTGAAACTAACAGAACATTGTAAATCGACTATACTCCAATATAAAATTTAAAAAATTTAAAGTAATATTTGAAAACTCCTAAAGAATACATTAGCAGACAGAGACGCAAGAGGGAAGAGATATGGGAACATATGTATATGTATAACTGATTCACTTTGTTATAAAGCAGAAACTAACACACCATTGTAAAGCAATTATACCCCAATAAAGATGTTAAAAAAAAAAAGAATACATTAGCATGTAGATAGAACATAAAGAGTAATAATAAAACAAACCTATCAGTCAATTTAAGCAATAAAACATGGCTGGGACTATGGAAGCCGCCTGACTGCTGCTCCCCCCACCCCCGACCCGCGTTCTTCCTCCCCAGAAGCAGCCCCTGTGCTGAGCTTCACATAACAATTCTTTTGCCTTCTTTTCCATAGGCTTATTACATTTTTTTATACATTCCCATATTGTTTAGTTTTCCATGCTTTTGAAAACTTTATGTAAATGGTATCCTATTACATGTATTCTTTCGCAATTTTCTTTTTTTCTGTCAATATTACATTGGCAAGTCTTTCCTCTGGGTGTTTATAGCTGTAGGTTCATCCATTTTCACTGATAATTAGTATTCCATTGTATGTTACAACTGATTTAGCCATTCTACTGTGGAGGGACGTTCACATTGCTCTGAATGTTCTTGTCCGTGTCGCCTGAACACGTGTGCAAGGGTTTCTCTGGGGCATTACTACACCAAGGAGTGAGACTGCTGGATCATAGGTGTGTGCATCTTCAACTTCACCAGATAAGGCCAGATTGTCCCCCAAAAGAACTGCTCCAGTTTAGACTCCCAACAGCAAAGTATAAGTGTTCCGGTGTTCTCACTTTCACCAACACTTGATTTTGTCAGATTTTTTTCACTGACAGCCTGGTAGGTATAAAACAATGTCTAGTGGTGTGATGATTTGCGTTTCCCTCACAGTTCTTTACATAACCTAATCTTTTATCAGTTACATGTATTGCAAATATCTTCTTCCAGTCTGTACCTTTCCATTTTCAATCAACTTTATTGAGGTATATTTCTACAAAATAAACCTAACCATTTTAAGCCTACAATTTGATATCTGACAAATGGATACAGTTCTCTAACCACTACAGTCATGCCATAAAATGTTTCCCTGGCCCCCAAAATTCCCTTGTGCCCCCAGTCCCTCTCCTCTCCCTACCTCTAGTGTCAGGCAAGCACAGATCTGCTCTCAGTCACCAGTTTTGCTTTTTTTTCAGAATATCATATAAACATACTCATTCAGTATATCTGGCTTATTTCATTCAGCAAAATGCTTTTGCAATTCATCCATGTTCTTCCATCTATCGGCAGTTTATTCCTTTTTATTGTCAAGTAGTACTTCATTTCATGAACATGCCACATTTATTTATCTATTCACCAGTTGATGGAAATCAAGGCTGTTTCTAGTTTGTGGCTCTTACGAATAACATTATCGTGCACATTTACATAGAAGTCATTGTGTGAACATGTCTTAATTTCTCTTGGGTAAATACCTAAGAGTAGAAGGGCCACGTGATATATGTACATTTGTTTTTATGAGAAACTGCTGCGTTGTTTCCCATCTTGCACTTCCACTAGCGGAGTATGAGAATTCTGTGGGTCATTAGACAAGAAGTCTGTGGCATCTTTTTCATACAGAACTTTAAAATTGTGACGTAATTTGATATATCAATCATTTTCTTTATGGTTGGTGCTTTTGGGGATTTATGAAATCTTTCATCACTTGGTTCTTCATGTTGTGATTCTATTTGTAATTTCTCCTGCGAGGATTATTAGGTTTTTTTTTTTCTTCAAAAAGGTCTTTTCTGACATTTCCCCATAGCAGTTTGTAGGCAATGTACACTTAACTCACTATGTCCGATAATACAGCATTTGTTGTCATTACAGAATAATGTGACATGAGATTGCGGGTAAGAGCTCAATGTGCTCAGTTAAGAAAATTGCATTTCATGGAACTGAAATTCTCTGAAGAATTCTTGTTTTCTCCATTCAGTTCGGAATGGAGTTCAACAAAGTGTCAAAACACAGATTAGCAAACTTTTTCAATCAAGGACTAAATAGTACATATTTTAGGCTGTGTAGACCGTACTGTCCCTGTCCCGACGACTCATCGCTGTTGTTGGAGTGCAAAAGCATTGCCAGCAGTACATAAACGGATAAGCGTGGCTATGCTCCAATAAAACTTCATTTACAGAGGCCGAACTTCAAACTTCATAGAACTTTTATGTGGCACAAAATCATATTCTTTTCCCCCCCAAACATTAAAAGATATAAAAACCAAATTTAGCTTGCGAGCCATGGAAAAACGGGCAGAGAGGCAGATCTGGCCCGTAAACAGTAGTGTGCCAGCTCCTACTGCTTTAGAACACATCCTCCTGACATCACTGTAAGGCAACTGGCTAATATCCCTCTCCCACTTTGCACAGTGGAGCACGAGAACCCAAGGAGACGTCAGCATTCATCCAGGTTAGTTTCCCTTTCCTCCTCCTTCCCTCGTTTTACAGAGGAGGAGGTTTTGGTGCAGGGAGAGAAAATGCCCAACTTCAGGCTGCGTGGCTCGTGAGTGACAGTGCCAGGCTGGAGTTCGGGGGTCTTGATTTAAGGCCTACCTCCCTCCCTCCACTCAATTCCGAAAAGCAAAATTTAAAATTCCACCCATAACTGCAAAATCCTCCTGCCACTTCTCATAAGTAATTCATCTTTTTTTTTCACTCTAAAGGAATTTATTCTAACAAACACCTTAAAACTAAGGATTCAGTAAGCTCAAATCTTGATATTTAATTTGTATTATTAAAACCTGTGCAACGCAATTAACAGTGACAACTGCATTGTAAATTTGAGAGAAATTTTCACTGGGGAGGTGACATGATGATATGTGTGGGAAAATTACACAGAGAATTAAAATTGGTTAAATAAGGCACCTAAATTCCAAAAAGCCTATGAAGATCTCCAAAGTGAATTTTATTCCAGAATTTCGATGGCACAAAGAACGACAATTCTATGGTAAATAGCAGAGAAATCACCTCTGCAGATTAGACTGAGGCCAATGGGGTGGCCAGGATGGGGGACTCCGGGCCAGAGGTTAGGACTCTCACTGCAGTAAACCTCTGGAACCCAAACTCCAAGAAAGCAGAGTCTTTGTCTCTTGTTCATGGCTGTGTCGCCTCCAGACCAGAGCCTGGGACATACTGGTGCTCGCTCTGGGACATACTGGTGCTCAGTAAATGATGGTCGAAGGATCGAAATCAGCCTGTAAGAGGTGATTCCTGGGAACTGGCCTCTGAATTTTTAGAGCACCTATTCCAGCAGCTTTGGGGCCACTCTGAAAAAACCTTAAAGGATTTCCCACCCACCAGGGGCCCCATCGAAAGGTGGTCACCTTCACGCCCTGGATAACTATCTTCTCATCTGCCCTTGACCTGTCTCTTAGGCTTGGAGTTATTACACATTCCGGATATAATGAATACGTACAAAGTATTGCCTCTGAACTGTTAAACAACTGAAAATTCATCGAAGGGAACCAATGTTTATAAATGAGTCAGAAGTGTTTAAAATGTAGACATTTATAAAGGGTCCAAGGAATAAGAAATTCCCAGAATAATTTACCACCTGCACATTTCCATTTTGTTTGGAAGTTCTAATTCTCAGCAAACGTTAATCAAGTCATCCCACTATCTTTTAGGTTACTTTCCCCCTTTTACAGATAGCAATTCAGCAGAAGTTAAATGACTTGTTGCCAAGGTCACAAGGAGAATATAAATCTAAATGATTCATGATTTCAGCCCTCTCTCCTGCCATTTGTTAGATTGAAACCGAGGGAGGTTTCAGGAGGATTTCAGCTCACTTCCCTGGTGACTGACTGTATATTTGCTGCTCTCTGCTACCCCCTGTTGATATGAGAAGGCAAGAGTAGATCTCGAGACCAGTATTTCTCAGAGTTAGGTCTGGGAGCAACCGTATCAACATCACGTGGGAACTGGTGAGACACAGAAATTATGGGGCCTCAGCCCATAATTTTGGGGGGGTTAGGCTCAGAAGCCTGTGATTAACAAACCTACAAAAGATTCTGCTGCAACTTGATATTACTTTTCTGCTTTTGGTATGAATGTCCTGGCCCCCTAATCATCGTAAAAATGGCAAGCCCCTTCACACTGCTTCTCACGTGCAGTATATATACCATTATGCCCCATTCAAAGTGCTTTCACATCCATTCATTCTTTCAGAGGGGCTTGCAGTAGCCCTATGAAATAAGTTAGGGAGGGACCGCAAATCCATTTTACAGATGAGGAGACTTGAGGCTCAAGAAAGTTCAAATAACTTGCCCAGGGTTACTCAGATTTAAGTGGCAGGGCTGGATTCAAATCTAAGTCTTCTCTCTCTACATCCATGTCCAGAGATTCTTCAGTTACTCCACAATAGGGCTGCTGACATTTGGGGTCAGGTAAGATGGGGTGCTTTGCTGTGGGGGCCATCCTGGGTATTGTAGGATGTCTAGCAGCATTCCTGGCCTCTACTCACTAGATGCCAGTAGCACCCCATCCTAGTTGTGACAATCAAAAATGTCTCCTAGGGGCTTCCCTGGTGGCGCAGTGGTTGAGAGTCCGCCTGCCGATGCAGGAGACACGGGTTCGTGCCCCGGTCCGGGAAGAACCCACATGTCGCGGAGCGGCTAGGCCCGTGAGCCATGGTCGCTGAGCCTGCGCGTCCGGAGCCTGTGCTCCGCAGCGGGAGAGGCCACAACAGTGAGAGAGGCCCACATACCGCATTAAAAAAAAAAAAAAGTCTCCTAATATTGCCAGGGCCCCCCGAGGAGCAAAGTAACCTGTGGTTGAGAATCACTGACCTTCAGCCAACTCATAAATGCAGATAAATTCCACATTTCTTGTTCTGCAAATTTTGTACTCTTTGGGATGATTCCAGAATAAAGAGCTTATTTTGGGCCTCGGCCATCTATGAAGTGAATGAACTAGACTAACTCCTTAAGAAAATTAACACTAATTCTGTTATATCATTTGGTATCCAACGTGTATTCAGATTTCCCTCAGGTGTCTCAAGAATATCTTTCATAGCTGTTCTTTAATAATAGGATGCAACCTAGATTCCTCAGTGGCTCTTGGTTGCTGTGTCTCTCTAGTCTCTTTTGGTCTAGAATATGGGTCCACAAGCTATGGCCTGTGGGCCAGATCTGGCCCACCACCTGCTTTTGTCAATATGCTTGTGCTGGAACGCAGCCATGTGCTTTCATTTATGTATATGATGGCTTTTGTGCTACAATATTGGAGCTGAGTAGTTGCAACAGACACCGTATGGCCCATGGAGCCTAAAATACTAACTACCTGATGCTTTACAGAAAAAGATTGCCAATCTGTGACCTAGAACCATCCTCTAACCTTTATTTTTAATATAATCCTGACTGTCCAAAGAGTCCAGAACTGCCTGTAGAAAATCTCTTCTTTTAGACTGGCCTGATTATATACATACATATATATACATATACGTATGTGTGTGTGTGTGTGTGTGTGTGTGTATATATATATATATATATATATATAAAATTTACCGCAATTTCACATACTGTATACATATACTTAAAAATACAAAATACTTATGAAACGATCAGTGCTCCATGGCACAGAGTTAAACAAATTTTTATGTGTTAAAACTCTAAATGAAATTGAATGGCAAACAACAAATTAGAAAAATAACTCCAAGAGCTTTATTTTATTTTTTTAATTTTCATACTTTATTTTCCAGGAAGGAGAAGAAAAATGTCATGACTGACACAGAGTAGCTTCAGTTACAAATGAAAGTAACATCTTTGGTGATTAAGTTTCTGTATCATTTGAATAGAGAAACCAGTAGGAAAACCAGGGGCCTCCTTTTTTGGAAAATCATAATATATAATTTCAACTATAATTTTCAACTGTGGCGCCAGAGTGCACAGAAATTCAGATATATCCACAAGAATGTCAACACTCTGAGTACAGGGCCATGTACTTAGCAACATGCCTGGTATACAGAAAGTGCTACATAAATGTCCATGGGAAAAATGAATGAATGAGTACCGTTCCTTTACACATTTGGGCTCGGCAGGTGGTCACAAACATATTCACAATCATTTATTAGATTAGTATTATTTTTTAGTATAACAAGCATGCGGAGCCTACTAAAGGCTTACCTGTTAGTGCTCTGTTGGGAGCTCATGCATGTTCATTGACATAGGATTCAGGTGGCTTGGAACATGACCTTCAGAACAGGAATACACTGGTTTTATGCATATGGTCATATGGAAAGCTAGAACACGTCCAGCCTCTCCTTCCAGTTAACCTAGGTCAGACTCTAACGAAAGTACCTTCTTCTGCTACTCTGGATACAGTGTATCTATCCTACTAATCACCTAAGACATTATAAGTGAAACAAACCATCACTAAAGAAAATGCTGCTAACTGGTTTTATCAGTTAATATAACATGGGTGAGGCTGTGCGTAGTTTAATTCCCCTCCACCTCTCTAAAATGTCATTTAACCTATAATAAAAATTGGACCTCCCTAAACCACAATATATATTTTACGATAATATTTTTAAAAAGTTAATCGTCATCCACTCTAGCATAGCTGACATAAATGGCGCTGAAGAGTGAGCTGTTGGTCAGAAGTAAGGCAGAAGATTTAAAGAATTCCCGGTTCATTCTTGAGCAGTGGATCTTCTTCCTGGTTTCCAGGGAAGAGCATCTTTGCACAATTGGGGAAAACATTCAGGCCTTTGCCTCTGACCACGATCCCAGTGCTGTTTTCTATTGGTTTGTATTCCTTGTGTTTTCTGAAAGCAATGTGTTGGACAGATTAAAAAAAGATCTCCAGCTGGAAAAGGTTGCTTTCTACAGTCTTTTACATGCCAAGTGCAGAATGGTTAATTCTATTTAATTTATGGCTTTTAAGACATTGATGTCTTATGAAAATATATTTATTTTCTCTTCGTCATGCAAGAAATGTGTCTGCTTACTATAACTTGCGATTATATGTTAAACATTAAGCTGACACAATTTGGTAAAGTTACTGACATTTGGTAGCATTTTTAGGGATTAAAAAAAACACAGCAAAATTAATAGGCTAGTTTGGTATTCGTCATTCAGTGGAAGATTTTCCTCCCACATACAAAATGTTTAAAAGCAAAAAAGGGAAAACAGCCCACTTGTGCAGAAATATGCTATTTATTTTTGACAATATACTCTAGTGATTTAAAGTGTTAGAACCAGCAACTTACTTGTACACCAAAAGGGCGATCACAGTGACAAATATGGCCATGCAGCCAACGAAGAAGACCAGGGTACCATTTGCCATTCTTAAAAGGGAGTCTGGGTCTTAAAACAAAAGCAAGACTGTATTAGTGACAACTTCCACCTCGAGGACATGCTGCTTGTAATGCAATTAAATCGATGAGGAAGAGAGCTAACAGAAGATATATGGCTCTCTCTGTGCTTTCAGTAATCTTTCCCATTACATAATACATAGTCTTTGGGGGCAGCTTATCTTCCATTTAGAGAATGAGTTAGCGTGTCTGGAACACTGTGTTACGGGCTCAGGAGACAGATGTCACGTCCCGGAGATACTCGATGGGGTCTGAGCTGATCCAGCTGCACACACGTGGTGAAGGTCTTCATGATCCTCCTGCACACTCCCCTGGCCTCATCTCCCACTGCCTTCTTTCCAGCTGTGCTAAAAATCCATCCTCCCCGTGCTCTTTCAAATCTCCATGCCCTCTGCCGGGAACATCCTTCTCCCAACTCATCTCCAGCGTCTGCCCCTTTGGGACACCTTCCAGACATGCATGTGGGCACCAGGTCATGCCTTCCTTTGTCACTTCTCTCCTTGTCTCTCTTCCTCTGCCTCCATCACACTGTGTTGCAATTACTTTTTTAAAAAAAATTTATTTATTTTTGGCTGCGTTGGGTCTTCATTGCTGCACGTGGGCTTTCTATAGTTGAGGTGAGCAGGGGCTACTCTTCGTTGCAGCGCGAGGGCTCGTTGCGGTGGCTTCTCTTGCTGCGGAGCATGGGCTCTAAGTGCACGGGCTCCAGTAGTTGTGGCTCTCCGGCTCTAGAGCTCGGGCTCAGTAGTTGTGGCACACGGGCTTAGTTGCTCCGTGGCGTGTGGGATCTTCCCAGACCAGGGCTCGAACCCGTGTCCCCTTCATCGGCAGGCGGATTCTTAACCACTGCGTCACCAGGGAAGCCCGCAATTACTTCTTTACACAAATTTCTCTCCTGCTAGACTGTAAGAGCCATAAAGCAGGGAGTATGTCTTCTCTGCACTCCCAGAACCCAGCAAATCAACCAGTCTTGTCTCTGCCACCAAAGTATAACTGGAGTCGGTCTATTTTCTCTCCATCTTCTCTGCCGCCATCACAGTCCCGGCCACCAGCCCTCTTCCCTGAGAGGACGTCTTCATTGTCTACTCGCTTCCACTGCTACTTTCCAATAAAGCTTGCTTCACTCAGCAGTCTGAACGATCATCTAAAAGCATTGATCAGATCATGCTTCAACCCTGCCAGTGGTTCCCCTTACGCACAGAATAAAACCCAAACCCTACCTGTGGTGCATAAGGATCTAGATGGGCTGCTTTTTTTTTTTTTTTTTTTTTTT